AAAATCGTAGGTAGGGAGTGTCAGACTCTTACTGACTAAAAACCACCCCGTTCCTTCTTCTGCACGTCGAGTCGGAGCCCCGGTTACCCGTTAGGTTCTCCGCGACTCCGAATCGGCATCGGCCGTATTGGGCCCCATCTGTGGTGGTCTGATGGCTCTTTGAGGCGCGCGCAGAACGCGACGCGCCGTATCATATTGGGTATAAACCTCAACCAAACTGGTGAAAAGTGGGTTTAGCATATGTCAGGGTACCTGTCCTTTTCCTTTGGATTTAGACACATATTTCAATAAATGTTGAAATGGAATAAGTACTGCCAGTATGAATTTACTTATATTCAGTTACCTGGACTAGAAAATAATTTAGTAATGTTTAAATGTACCTATTCATCATCATCATATCAGCTATTTCTTTTAAGGGGGGAAAATCATCAATGACTACTCCCGATCATATCAGCCATAGGACGTCCAGTGCTGAACGTACTATTACAACATTTTTTTAATTTTCAGACATCGAATAACGAAGAAAGTATAGGAGAAAGTGGCAGTATATTTGTACGAAACCTGCCATACGTGGTATCTGAGGGAGAATTGACAAGTTTATTTGAAAAATATGGTGAGTACTGAGTAGTAATAAAAACAAAGTGTTATTTGGTCTGCACTGCACTGACGTGATGGGGGCTTGAATCCTGCATGGAGTACATACTTATTCGTTCCAGGTTTATTTATTTATTTATTTATGTACACACATTCAACACAGAGGACAACACATATATAAAAACAGAGTACATAGGCCCCACATATTCCAACTGGAATCTCTTCCTGTGGGCCTGTGGCAGGAAAGATATAATAACACCGAGACACATAGTGTGTTACACAAACAATTAAAAAAAAAGTTTAGTTACCTACCCAACCTATGGTGTGTGCAATTTGTGTTTGTGGATACAGACAAGCACTTGCTTCGTGCTAGACTAATTTCTGAATTGGCCTAGTTTGCAGCAATAACTCTTTCAGCGATCTGGGAATCTAACCCGAGCCCTCTAGATCGGCAGGAGTAAGTACCTTATAATATTTCAATTTTAAATATTTTATTGCTTCGCAGGTCCTCTAGCTGAGGTCAACATGCCAATTGACCCTATCTTGCGGCAGCCGAAAGGTTTCGCGACGATAACGTTTGTGATGCCAGAACATGCAGTGAAAGCTTACACAGAGCTGGATGGCACGGCGTTCTGCGGCAGAATGCTACATCTATTACCAGCCAAGTCTGAGAAACTTGAAGATGATGAAGACGAAGGTATGTATTAAATTATAAAAAACCCCGCGTTACGGGGATAAAAAGTACGTCAATTTTCATCCAAATCCCTACAGTTACAGTGACGTGATTGATTTTAATTTTCAGTACTCAATACCAAGACTACGAAAGGCTTAGCGCTTTTTATGGTAACTTTTAAAATCCATGTTTCATACCATAAGAAGTACAGAAGCAGCAGTTACGGTTTATATATTATAGTTATCTAGCTGTCTTCATAATTATACACACTTACTTTCGAAATAAACTTTCTTGTTTACTTTCTCTTAGCTAAAGAGATTAAAATAAAAACACGAAATGACCTCAAATGCTATTATCATAATTTGCGTGTTAATGTTGTAAATTTAAATGCATGTAATTACGCAAATCTCTAATCATGCGCTTCGTTCGTCACAGTTTGTGTTAAGATTTTTGATTTGGCCTTCGGATTACTAGTGTTAGCTAGTAAACAACCTAACTAATGTTACAATTTACTAAACTAGATCATTCAAAAATGGACTTTATTTCTAACGTAGTATGATGTTAAATTTTATTGAGCTGTTGCCTGACCTGCTTATTAAATAGTAGATTACTTTTTAAGTTACTCTTAGCTTTAATAAGTAGGTACTCTTAAGTACCTAGGTCCTATACTTATTATGCTCTTTGACCTAGGTGTTTCTGGGCATTCTATGAATTAATAATAACATTCCCATAAAAACGCCAGAATTAGAAACCACAGACACGATAACTTCTAACAATACAGGTATCTACATGCTTAAGTTGGATTACTCTGATATCTACATATCTATGTACTGTACTACCTAATATCACTGCTTAAAATAATATAAAACATAAGACTATTTTAGCATTTTTATGAATCCCTTGAATATCATGTTTTATTAAAAGAAAAATAGAGTTTGAAAACGTAAATGAAGACTGCTTGTAAAGTTGTTATCAACTTTAGTTACCGTGTCGTAAAAAAGGTACTCGCATAATTTTTACAATGCAATCGGCAATGAAACTCCTATTACGTACTTACGTAATAAAAACTATAGATAGGTTTGTATAGTAAATACCGATTCTGTCGTGCTGTTGTTATTCATTAGAGGCAAATGATAAGTCGAAGCCAAAATAAATTGTATAAATCGATTAAAATATAATTTCCAATTACAATATTATGTTTTGTTTTGTCCATTTAGGTAAAATAACAGTAGACGCCATGGATGGCCATGGCGTCTACTATCGTCAAGAGGAAATAATATTTTTAAAATTTAGCTATTTTAATGCTGTATTTAAAAATAAAGTAATATACAGTAAATTAAGACGAGTAATTTACCACATAATTAGTAATAATTATTAGCTATTTCGACGTCGAATTCAAATGTCTTTCCATTACAGAAGGTCTATCGTTCAAGGAGAAGAAAGCAAAGAAGCTGAAAGCGCAAGCGAAGTCTTCTCATAATTGGAACGTGTTGTTTCTTGGTCTAAATGCTGTCGCTGACGTCATCGCATCCACATACAACACCACGAAGGAACAGCTCCTCAATGACAACAACAAGAGTAAGTCAAAATGTTTTAAGCTTTTTAGGGCCATTTATTTCATATTTTTAGGGAGATAAACTAGGGAGTATGATATTTTTACTTCACTACCAACCCTGTGACCACCATCATACCGATATAGGCCATAGGGGGATTCCGGGATCCTCCACGGCGCAACGCCTGTTAATGGCACTTCCCTAGGACCTTGCTTCTCCTTTATCGCGACATGTCTTTATATATGAAATTGATATTAATCCTTTGGGCAGCGGCATACCTAAGTACTTGTGTGCATTCATAATATTTAATTGCAATCGTAACAGATACAAGCGCTGCTGTCAGATTGGCCCTCGGTGAAACGCAGCTTGTCGCCGAAACTAGAGCTTTTCTTGAAGGAAACGGAGTTTATTTGGAAGCATTTAACAAAGTAAGTACCTATTTCTAATAAAATGTGAAATAATTTTAGTTGGTATGTAAATGTAAACTAAGTTAATCATATCTCTTGTCAATTTTTCTGCAGCCCGCAAAAAAGAGATCAAAAACATGCATTCTTGTCAAAAATTTACCAGCAAACACAGAAAAAGAAGAAATAAAGTCTTTGTTTGCAAAACATGGACAAATAGCAAGATTCTTAATGCCACAACATGGCATAACAGCCCTTGTTGATTTCATTGAACCGTTTGAAGCAAAAAAGGCATTCACAAAACTGGCATATTCACAATTCAAGAACGCGCCGCTTTATTTGGAATGGGCACCGGAAAATGTGTTTATAAAATCGACTGAGAAAATTGATTCAGATAAAAATACGATTGTGGCACAATCTGATATACAGGATGAGGAACCTTCATCCACCCTCGCACCAGTATCTAAAGAACCTGATAGTAATAATCAAGACGTCAAAGAAAATGAAACGGAACTGGAGGAACCCGAAAATGATACAACATTATTCGTTAAAAATCTTAATTTCAAAACAACTGAAGATAGTCTCAAAGCAGTACGTATTCATCAACATTTTCAACATCAGCTTTGTTTAATCAACTGGTTTATTTATGTATAATTTTTTTTTTAAGCATTTTTCATCGGTTGGGAAAGTACACAGTGTGTCTATTGCAAAAAAGAAGGACCCGAAAAATCCTGGCCAGTTTCTTTCAATGGGTTATGGCTTTGTGCAATATTATAAAAAAGAACACGCTAATGAAGCTCTTAAGAATCTGCAAGTTACTACTTTGGATGGAAAGTCTCTCGAATTAAAGAGATCAGAAAGGGGAAATACGTAAGTACCTCTCCTTTCTTTTATGATTGTCTACTTGATGCTTATTTTTTTTCTGAGCAAGATATCAATATACATATTTAATTATATTTTACAGAAATGAAGTAAGAACCTCTAAGAAGAGCAATAAAGATACAACTCAAAATGGCACTAAAATTCTCGTAAGAAATGTTCCGTTTCAAGCAAATAGAAATGAATTACACGAAATTTTTAGGTAAGTTTGGATGGCAATAATAATTTAACGTAAGCATTTATGCAGGAAACTAACAAAATGTATTTAATGAACTGATATGAAGTTACCAAATGACTATTAATATCATTAGCAATGTTAGATTAAACGTTTCGATTCCAATTCTTATCTATTTAATGTTATTCATATCGTAATTTGGAATTTACAGGGCTTTCGGTGAAATTAAAACTTTACGGCTGCCTAAAAAATTAGCTCCTGGGTCGGATCAACATCGGGGTTTTGCATTCGTGGATTACTACACTAAAGCAGACGCCAAGGTAATGTTTCTTTATTATTTTTTTATAAGATTTTGAGCAATTTCCAATACTACCACCTAAATATAAAATTAATAACTATTCCGTTTGTTGTTCAGTCTGCCTTCGATGCACTATGCCAATCGACCCATCTTTACGGGCGGAGACTGGTGTTGGAGTGGGCGGAACAAGGAGATGACACAGAAGACGTAACTATGTTAAGAAAAAGAACCGCGCAAAGTTTCAATGCGCAAGCTCCAGGAGGAAAGAAATCTAGGAAAGGTGCTGTTGATGTTGAAAAATTCGTTGAAGGTGATGATAGTGCTATGTAAAATAAATGATTATAAAATTAACTTTCCTGGTTTTATTGAATTCCTTAATTGATTTTTTTTATTTCCTTAATTGTATATAAATCAAACAACAGTATATCATTATTCGTCTTTATTTTATGCCAAAATAGTTACAAGAGAATTGGATGGCATACATGTTGTAAATTTGTCGTGACATTAATTTGTTAAAATGGCGAACTGGTAGAATCGCAATAAAGTTCCAGAACTTAGGTATTCTTAATTAAAGTATTAATGCCCTAGTATTTACAAAGTTTAAGCCAGTTAGACATCAGCACAACGTAATGATAGTAGTTTTTGAGACATTTCTGTAACTTTTAATGTTAAAACTAAAACTGCAATGAAATATAATATATTATTATATTTGATAACTAAACATACAAACTTATGATTTAGTTTTTAGAGAAATATTTACTATAAATATACCACCAGTCATTACACTATCAGTGAAGTACCAGTAACACTAAGATATAATAATTTTACACTAGAAAGACTGGGAAATATTTACACACAATTACAATAGCATGACAGTAATTTAGGGATCATAGTTACATATTATAATGACTAAAACAATAATAAAAATACAATGGATAACAGAACAAATTGGCCAGTTCATAAATTACTCTAGATAAACATAATAATGTGTAGTTTATTTATATTATATTAGCATACCATTATGACTAAATTATACCACAATAACTTGAAATGTCACATATACCTTTCAGAGCTCTTAGCTTTAATACTCTCATAGTTAGCAGCATTATTAAACTACATGTTCTATTTACTTCAGCTTTACATTACATACAATTTAACTACTAATTTATAATTTTTTTCACACTTAAAACATTATAGGACACAATGTAAACAACGGAAAAGATTAGAGTACAAGTACAAGGTAATATACTTACATACATAGTAGGTCTACTATTATGATGATATTGTATAATTTGAAAACATGACAAAACATATCATGGCAGTGATAAATAATAGATTTGAATACAACATTTAATAACATTTTTAATGTATGAATAATTTCCATAGTGAAGAATTCTAATTATTACAATTATATTATTTTCATTTGTAAAGAGTTTAAAGTAGGTGCCTAATATTAGTATGTAATTAGAATAATCTAAATGCTGTGTAGCACAATCTTCATTTTTTAAGGAATGTATTCAACATTTTAATTTGAAATTATTCTGATTGACACTTAAATTTACACAAGTTTGAACCAATTATAAATGCTATCTGTTAATTTGATTGCTTTGTGTTGTTACATTCCCAATGAGTTGAAATTACAATCTTCTCTAACAAAACCCTCAAATATAATCACAACATTTCAATCGATCTTAACAGTTGAATAAATCTTCCTGACAAATATGCTTGTGCCAATGTACCCCACAGTACCACAAATAATACCCAGAGCTAAGCTGAATAGAGCCATGTAGCCAAAGTAGAATGCAGTTTGAAAAAGCCCATACATTTTTGTTTTGAAAACAAAGTAATAGAAAGAGTACAAGTAAACATAGATGGAGGTACTACCAGCAGAGAGGAAACTAGTCCACTGCCAACGATAATCTTCAGCATTCAACAAAAAGTAAGTGCAAACAATGGTAACACAGACAGTAACAATCATCAAAATTAGGAATACCAGCAACATAAATCCATACACATAGTAAATTTTGTATGCCCAGAATGAGGTAAAGATGAAATACATTTCAATAAAGATTGAACCAAATGGTAATATTCCTCCTACAATAATGATTATTAAAGGTTCCATAAACCATTTCTTTTCTGGAATAGGTCTTGGAACAGCATTAATACGACAAGGATAATCAGGCTGACCTGCTAAATTGCGACCAAGGACTGTTCCTACTAAAGTTAAAGGTAGTATAACAAAAGTACAAATGGACATGACAGCTATCATACTACCAAACGGAATTGCCCTAGATGCATGATAGTACATGGCAATGAAGTTGATAAAGAAAGCTGTACCACAAACCAGCACAGGTAACAAAAATGCTGATAGCAACATCTGTTTTATCCAAAGCTTACCCCCCATCCTAGCATACAAAGATCCTCCAAAGTATCCATTTACAGGAGATGTGGCAGCATAGATAAATATGGCTGTGGAAAGTAAAGAGCCCCTTTCAGTGTAAAGTTCACCAAATATGGTGAATATGATAACGGCTAATGTCACCACTGTGAGTTGATATCCACTTCCAATCAGTGCTGAAAATACTGGTAAATGTGGGACAGGTCGGAACACATCACCATGGACTTGTTTCCAACCATATTCATCTCCCAAATCCTTCTCTAAATCATCCAGATCATCATCTTTTGAATATCTTGCATAGTCTTTTCGGAGTGTTCGCATGAGTATCATAGAAACCAATCCTACTAAGAATATAACCATCATAAAACTGTTAAAAATACTGAACCAATGAATGCGATGCTGGAAGAAGTTTGGATCCAAATATTTGTCAAAACGATCTTCATAGTTGATTTTACTTTTCTTCCAATTAACTTCATAAGTAAACGGAATGTTCGCGTCGGGTGTAAGTAGCTCCTTATTCTCAGCTGTAAGGTTCACTTCCACAATTCGGTTGCCATTGTATCCAATGTCGAATTTCTTGTGAGTCCAAATGTAATAATGGTCCCCATCAATTTCGCCGACTGTTCCCCATATCGGTAGATCGTCTATGTACATTTGGTACCAATAGTGATTCTTAACCGCATACACGAGTGCTTTGTAGGATTGATCACTTAGTTCAATGGCACAAAATTGCTGCGCCGGTATATTATCCCCGAAAGTGATGTCAAGACCACTGAATTCCAATTCGACTCCCTGTAGTGCTTCAGATAAGGTCTCATGGTAATGTCCAATGGTAACTTTAGTACCTACGCAAAAAGGTAATGAAAAATATGCATACGTTTCTTGGCGATTGTGATACGGCCCTACTGTATTCATCCAGAGCACCACTTGTTCACCATCTTTATATGTATGTGTATGTTCGTCACAATTAACTATAGTCCAAAAAATAAATAATAAATATAAATACTTCATTTTTATGCAGCAGATAACTTCTTAAAACCAATTAGAGTACAAATAAAATAAACATAACACGTATGTGAAATGCCGATGTCGGACATTTATGGCATGATATTGCCACTAAAAATAATTAAAAGGAAAGTAACTAAATGTCAATTTCAATTATTTTTCTGAATTGAGTTGTTTTTTTTGCACAACTTGGAACTTTAAGTTTAAAGTAAATGAAAAATACGCAGATACGGAATATTGGAAGGTTAAGTTCGAAAAAAGTTGTTAAATGGATTGACTTCGTTCATTTATATTATTTTTAAACATCTTTGTCTTAAAAATTTAATTAAGACTCGGTCAATCCTAGCTGATCCAATAAGTTCCTTGATCTTTAAATTCATTGTCATCATTACAAATAATTAATACTAATTTTTTTTTTTTTTTTAAATATCATAATTTATATAACTACATAAATATTTACAACTTAAAATTAACTACAACTAAATAATAATAATTAATACTAATTAGATATGGGCTTAGCCGATTAATCGATTAATACAATATTTTTAAAAAATATGTCAATTTTTAAGTTGTCAGATGTCACTGTCAAATTACAAAGATACATATACTCTGGCACTCCGTCAGGTGGATGGATTTTAAGGTTATGTACATGTTTATCTTCAGTTCTGCAAGAAAGAAGTTTCGTTAAATATAAAATGGAAGTTGATTTACCGAGCTTTGTTCAGGCCCGACTTAAGTCAGACACCGGAGAAGAGACAGGCAGTCCACTTGACCTGCCTCTGAATATAACAAGAGATCAATTACAGAGTATTTGTAATAAACTCTTACAAGAAGTAAGTATATTTGTATGGGAGTTGTATTTATTATACATATATAAATACCAGTAATTCGTTCATCCTGTCTTAACAGCTAAATACATTGCTATGTGCTTAACCCAAGGTTTCACCACAATATGTAATAAATAATATACTATAGTACTTAATTTACTTTTTACAGGAAGACAAGCCATTTCTTTTTTATGTTAAAGATGTTGAAATTACGCATACCTTGAAGGATGCACTTGATATAAAAAATTTAAACTCTGAAGAAGGAGTTGAAATTATATATCAACAGCAGGCTGTGTTTAGAGTAAGGCCAGTTACCAGGTGTACCAGGTCAGTACAACATAAAAGTCGTAGCTATAGTTACCCATTTGACTGACACTATATGTACCTAACATAAAATAATAATTCTATCTCCAGTGTCTTGCTAAAAAGACCTGCTTAGAGAAGACTAGACTAGATTTTAATTAATTTCATTTAAGATGTTTGTGCATGTCAAACAATAGAAAACACATTGTGTCTCGCATATACCATACATCCCCGGACTACCAGGGGTAATTAATCACTTCACATTAGTTAATTATAAATTCCACAAATTCCAGTTCAATACCAGGCCATGCAGAAGCAGTAATATCAACAAGTTTCAGTCCGTCTGGCAAACAGCTAGCCAGTGGCTCCGGAGACACAACTGTTAGGTTCTGGGACATTGCTACTCAAACTCCATTACATGTTTGTAAAGGTATGTTACACAAATCGTATTAATTTAACTTTATCTTTACTTTTTAAGTAATTCAATTTACTTATTTTAGAAAGTAAGTAAGCAGTTTTACCATTTATCAATATTTTATTTCCACAGGTCATGCCAATTGGGTTCTTTGTATAAGTTGGTCTCCTGATGGTTTAAAATTGGCTTCAGCCTGCAAACAAGGTCGGGTGATAATATGGGACCCAAACACTGGTAATCAAGTTGGAAAAACAATGATAGGACATAAACAATGGATCACTGCACTTGCTTGGGAACCTTATCATAGGTATGTTCTGCCTTTACTTAAAAAAAAAATCCATTCGAAATAAAATTCATCAATATATACAAATTTTGATTTTTTGCTTTTCAGAAATCCAGATTGCAGAAAACTGGCAAGTTCTTCTAAAGATGGTGATGTTAGGATATGGGATACAGTGACAGGTCTCACTATATTAAGTCTAACCGGACACGCTAAGGCAGTCACATCTGTAAAATGGGGTGGTAATGGACTCATCTACACATCATCTCAAGATAGGACAATAAAGGTGGGTTTACATAACAGATGTTAATTATAGTTGAATCCATTTTTTTATTCTAATAGCGATTCAAACTGACAATTTGACAACTATCTGCTCCATGAATAGATGTTATAATATACAGCAATTTCTTGTTTATTATTTTTAAGGTATGGAGAGCTGATGATGGAGTGCTCTGCAGAACATTGGAAGGACATGCACATTGGGTAAACACATTAGCACTAAGTACAGACTATGTGCTGCGAACTGGACCATTTCATCCAATTATTGACCAACATTCTGCTGTTAGTGACAGTGAGTAAACATTGAAAAAGCCAGTGGCTTCTTTTAAAACAATTTCTAAAAATTTGATATTATAAATTACATCACTTGTCTTTTTAGAAAATATGTTACAACAAAGAGCCCTAGAAAGATATGAAGCAGTATGTGGGAAGAGCGACGAACGCCTAGTATCGGGATCAGATGATTTCACATTATTCCTGTGGCTACCAGAAAAAGAAAAGAGACCACTAGCGCGAATGACAGGCCATCAACAACTCATTAATGATGTCAAATTTTCTCCAGACACAAGGTATTACAGCTAACATCTCATATTTCAAGTACATAATTTAAAGAACCTGTACTCCTGAAGCTACAAAAATAATTCAGTAAATATAAGAGCAAATTGAAACAGCAAAATAATGTAATGTGGTTAAAATCGGGATCATACAATGTACTAATTTTATACAATATTTTAGAATTATAGCATCAGCTTCTTTTGACAAGTCAGTAAAACTGTGGGATGCAGCAACTGGCAAGTTCATAACAACTCTAAGAGGGCATGTGCAAGCAGTGTACATGGTGGCGTGGTCAGCAGACTCAAGACTTCTATTAAGCTCCAGTGCAGATTCCACTTTGAAAGGTAAGGTTGTAGAAGCCTGTAGAAACAGAAAATCAGCCATTTTAGCCATCTTGTAAAAAAAATTTTATTTTAACCCTCTATAGTTGAAGTATCGATTTGGCTTTAATCTATAATAAGTGGCGCCACATCCATAACTAATGTGAAAGAACCTGTCTTTTTATTTTATTAATCTGAAAGGTACATAAATATATTTCATGATTGTATTGCCAATCATTTTCAGTGTGGAATATGAAAATAAAGAAATTGGAATTGGATCTCCCTGGGCATGCTGATGAAGTTTATGCTGTAGACTGGTCACCTGATGGAGCTTATGTGGCTTCAGGGGGAAAAGACAAAGTATTAAAATTGTAAGTGAACAATTCTTAAGGATCTAACTGCTTAGTGTGACAATGAATTTTATTGTAACTAAATTCGAATATTTTTATTTCAGATGGCAGCATTAGACAACAACAAACTGTACATGGAAATACAACTTTATTGTAATAATAAACCTGTTACATACAATATTTTGTAAAAGTAAATAAATAAGTTTCACTTAATTTTAATGCTCTTTTTAACATTGGCTTTGATTCCTGATGCTTCCCCAGCATATCTAGTTATCTCTGTCCTGGGTTCACGGACAGCTCCCTTCCTCCTTATCTTAGCCTTCCTATATTTGAGTTTATGTTTAACTCTGGGATTTCTTTGATCTTTCTTTCTGTGAGGAGTTAAGCCTTTGTTTTTAGCAATTTGATATGTAATTTCACGTTTTTCCCCAACATCCTCTGGTACAATATCCTGTGATGTGGTAGATGGTTTATTGTCTTCAGTTTCAATATCATTAGGAGAAATATCATTGTCAGAGAATCCACTCTCTTCTGACTCATCGTTGTTTCTTTGAACATCAACATCTTTGCTGGTCTTGAACAAATCATTTCCTTCATATTGGTCTTCATCATCAGATACACCAGTATCTTCACCTTCATCCTTTTCCATTGCATTAAGAAGTTTCAATTTCTTGGGTTTAGACTCCGGAGATGATCTACCTGATTTACGTTTCTTGTCTTTCTTCTGTTCCTTTATTTCAGTTACATGTAATTCCAAGTTATTTCTCACAGCAAGTAATATTTTGTCTATTTGAGGTTTTATAACTTCCAAGTAAATGGGCTCCATTTTATTTAACATTTGCCTGTATTGGTACAACCTTTTTATTACAGGATGATTCTGAATATTAATTTTTTGACTTTTAAGAAGTAAATAGAAACTAATATTAGTACAGTAATTTAAAATAAGGTCATAATTAGTTTTGACAAATTTTGATGCGGGACAAGTGGGAAGCTTGCCATCTTTGACAAGCTCTAGGAGAGGATGTAAATCATCCTTTGCAACTGTTAATTTAGATTTAAAATCGTCAATCAGACCTGCAAACTCGGGGCTTTCTTTTTCAAGTAGCTGTAACTTTTGCCTTTTTGACATTTGACTTAAATCACTTTTTATCACAGTTTGTTTTTCTTCAACATCAGCAACCTGTTTTGTCAAAAAATCTAGTTTGAAATCTTCTTCTCCAAGCTGTTCTAAGAGTCTTTTTTGAATATCTTTTGCTTCTTTTTCTTCCATAAGAGCAATTTCTTCATCATTCCCGAAGCCTCCATAGTCCTCATCAACATAATCAGTTGCATAATATGATCTTTTCTTTTTTCCCCAAGCCTTAGAGTCAGGTAAATCATCATCAGATTGTTCTTGTCCTTCGACATCACTGTCCGCTATTCCTAAATCATCCTTTTCATTGTCAGAGTCACCAGATTCAGAGAAAGCGTACATTTCTTCTTCACTTTCTGATTCATCACGTTTTCTTTTCCTCACCTTCTCCAATAATCTTTTCTCTTTAGGTGTATATTCATCTTCTGAGTCGGACGGCTCATAATTGCCCTTCTTGTCAAAATTTGACTTGACTCTGTAATATAAAACATGCATTGAATTACCTACTCCACAGTTAGTGGCAAACACATATATTTATCTAGATAACAACACATGGCCAATAATTTTCACATGTGAGTAAAAAAATTGGCACCAAATATCAAGTCGTTTTATCGCCATAAAGGTAATAGAAGAAATGTAGATAATAATAAAGAGAG